CTAGATTGGCCAGTCACTACTTTTTTATCATTGAGGGGCATTTGCGCATGCGGCCGCCATTGCTTTGTGCTGAAATTCGAACTGGCAGACAATGTAAAATGGCTGAGACTGACAGTCATCCGTTTAAGTCACGACCGAAAAGAACGAAGGTAACACAGTGCTATGCCATTAACTGTTACGCATACCGTAACTAAGAATCGAAGATGGAGGGTGTTACATTCCACAAGTAAAACCTTTTTTATTATTATTTTTCCTGTCTATAATATATTAAGTTACAGTTGGCAACATCGCCATGGACTTTGTGGCGACATAGAACTGGCGTGAATGCTTACATATAGTTTCAAAGTATACATGCGAGTCTTTTTGGAAGGCATTTCACCTACACAAGCCGGCATGACAGTTTGAGAGCTTTTGATTTAAAATGCTGACAATATTAAGTACTCACATAAGTTGAAATAATCATCCACGAGATTCTAATGTCGCTTGCTGGCCAGTCAAGCTATACAGAGACGCCGCCAAAACATATGTCTACAAATAGAAGTTCTGCGTACATTCCCTTTTGATGCTATCACTGAATGTCAAGGTAAACCTTTATTAAATACACCACTTCGCTTAATAGATAAGAGAGGAAATTTGAGTTAATTTGTATGGTTTAAGACAAGTCTAGTCTGGTCAATGACATTATGGGTTATCCAGGAAAATATTCAAACATATGCCTAACGCTGTCAATAGACTCATTCTCAGAATTACACGAGAATACATTTTTCCAGTCCAAAATCCTTAAGCTGTCAGTGGCATTATGATAAATAACCAGTACGTAGTACAAGTGGCCCATAATATTTTGTGTTGCTTGAACAAAAACAAAAATCAATGTAACTGATATATATAGTTTTATTACAATATATATGTAAATGCCTTTCTATTTTGTTGCATTTACTTGTAATGTATGAGTGAAATGTCAGTTAAGCGTATTTGATGTTTCAATGTGTTGCGCAATGCCGACTGTGTATTTGCACGTTCATAGAAAACAAAGTACTGTAGAAATGATTCTCACATGAATTTGGCTAGCATATAATTATGAATTGTATATTTAATGGTGAAAATTGTTGATTATGCTGTAGATAAATATATCCCTGCAGTGTTTTTGAAATTATTCCACTGTAGTACTCAGTTGGAAAAGTTAGGTCTGTGCCCTTGGTATTTCTCTACTTAATCATATTTGCATGATTTGTGAAATTACACTATGGCACATATTACCCACATATCCGTTTTCTGAAGAAGGAAAAAAGGTATTGAGGGAAAATTGGATTTATATTTTAATCTTTGGATTTGCTATTATAAATGCTGGTAGACTAAAATTATTTCACAATTATAAATTTACACAAGTTGAAAAAAGTACCATTCTGCACTTTATTGAAGTATCCATGAGAGGAAAATGTACTGGTCATGAAAATTTAAGTATGTACATGATAGAGCAAGACTCACAGGTACTTACAGTAAATACTGGACAAATATTATGGTATACAGATTAAACACAAGACTAATGAAATGGTAATGAAAATTGATGCGCCTCATTTGTTTTTAATTATTTAAGTACATATGCATAAGTTTGACTTACTTAAAACTGACAACTGTATTTGCACATGAAAGTTTATATAATTTATAATTTCATAACTTGTCATATTTTTCTGAAGACAACATCAGTTAAATATATCAGATCAAATGTAAACACTATTTTCATGCTTTAATCTCCACATGTCTTGTACTACACCAGTAATATATGATTTTCATGTTAAATAAAATGCGTTGCATAATTAAGTAACTTTGTTATGTCGACATTCAAAGGTGAATCCCACTACGTGGAATGATATCTGGTCTTAATGGCAGAGTGATCTTGAGATCCACTGCTCTAATGAGGAGGATGTTAGCATTTCATCCAAAAGATTCTGATTACAGAATAATAATATTATTATAATATCTTAAACTGGGTTTCACCAAGATGATAAATTGCCAGTATCATGAGGAATTCTTTATTTTTTTCTGTACAATAAGAGACTAGTTACGTACATGAGTTAAGCTGCAATAAAAATTGAATGGTTGTAGCAAAGTTTTTTCCTATACTTCAAGCCTTGAATTATAATACCTTGCAGAGACCATTTGGAGGGAAGGGGCTCATAACTCAGTAAAAAGAGGAAAATGGAGTCTTAAAAAAAACATTGCCAAACTTATTGTCTTTAGGCCTAGTACAGTACATATAATGCGTCATTGACGAAGTAGGTGTAACGGACTTCGTGTTGTGTATATATATTTTTTCTTCAAGCATTTGTATCAATTTTTGCCACAAATTCTCAAATAAATCCGAATGAATTTTATTATATTTTTATATCATTCATTTTCTTAATTATTTCCATCCACTTTCACTAAGAACGTTGAATGTTTGGAGGTGCAGATTATAAATAACATTCTTCTCCACCCCCCAAGAAAAGGATATGATGCGCCACCTCTTGTTCATTGGAAACAGTATTTGATATGTATATTTTTCTGTGATACATAATAAACACCAAGGAAAAAGAACAGATTTTGATCTTAAGATTTCCCTTTGGGCTAAAATCCAATGCACGCTTCATATGACTAACTAACCCTCCCTGTGGAACAACCGCCTCGGGAGTAAAATGCTCCGAGTAGGTGACCCCCACGTTCATTCGACATTTTATATTATCTAAAATGCTAGACAACCAGCGAATAACACCTGTTGGTAAATCCATTTGTTTTATTTTGCATCTTAAGCCATTATGCTTTCTCTATGTCGACACA